TTTCTAGTGAGTACATTTGGAGAGCTTTGAGACGATCCCAATAATTTAGGTGCTTTATACGTGCCGTATATGTTCTCTGTATTCCCTCTATTTCAGCAATCTCTCCTGTTCTGAAAGGAGGAAGTACTGAGCAGTACTCAAGACGGGACAACACAAGTGATTTGAAGAGTACAACCATTGTGATGGGATCTCTGGATTTGAAAGTTCTCGTAATCCATCCTACCTTTTTTCTGGCTGACGCAATACTTGCTTGGTTATGCTCCCTAAACGTTAGGTCGTCGGACATCATTATTCCCAAATCCTTGACATGCTGTTTTCCTACTATGGGCAGATTCAATTGTGTTTTGTACCCTGTATTATGTTTAAGCTCCTCATTTTTGCCGTCCCTGAGTACCTGGAATTTATCAGTTAAACATCATGTTATTTTCTGCTGCCCTATCAAAAATTTTGTTAATATCTGCTTGTAGTTTTTCAGTGTCTTCAATAGAGGTAGTTTTCATGCTGATTTTTCTGTCATCTGCAAAGGATGACACGAAGCTGTGACTTGTATTTTTGTCTATATCTGCTATGAGAATAAGGAATATCAGTGGTGCGAGGACTGTACCTTGAGGTACAGAGCTTTTAACTGCGCTTGGAATAGATTTTATTTGATTGACTGTTATTCTTTGTGTTCTGTTCGACAGGAAATTGAGTATCCAGCGTCCTACATTACCAGTTATACCCATTGACCTCATTTTGTGTGCTATCACTCCATGGTCACATTTGTTAAATGCCTTTGCAAAGTTTGTGTATACAACATCTGCATTCTGTTTTTCTTCTAGTGCCTCAGTGATTTTGTTGTAATGGTCAAGTAGCTGTGAGAGGCATGATCTTCCCGCTTTAAATCCATGTTGGCCTGGATTGTGGAGGTCATTGGTCTCCATGAAACCAGTGACTTGACTCCTGATCACTCTCTCATATACTTTTATTATGTGGGACGTTAGTGCAACTGGTCTATAATTTTTTGCCAATGCTTTGCTCCCTCCCTTGTGTAAAGGGGTTATATCCGCTGCTTTCAACACATCTGGTATCTCCCCCGTGAACAAGCTCTTCCTCCACACTATACTGAGTGCCTGTGCTACTGGCACTTTGCATTTCTTTATAAATATTGAATTCCACGAGTCTGGACTCAGGGCTGAGTGCATGGGCATATTGTCAATTTCTCTTTCAAAATCTGCTAAGTTTGTGTTGATATCAGTTATATTTACAGGTGTTTGGATATCACGCATAAAGAAGATGTCTGAATCTTCCACTTTCATGCTGTTTATCAGTGCTAAACATGTCCTCATACTGGTTTTTTTAAGATTTCACTAATTTCTTTGTCATCCTCAGTGTATGAACCTTCACTAATACGAATAGCTACGATACTGGCAGTGGTTTTTGCTTTTGATTTAGCATATGTGAAGAAATATCTTGGGTTTTTCTCTTTCTTGAATTGCTTTCTGTTCTAGTTGCTTTTCTTCGGTCTGATATGAATGCTTCAGTCTCTGTTCGATGACTTCAATCTCCCTGTTTAAATTATTTCTTTTTAGTATCGAAAGTCGCGTCTGCTTAAGCATTTCCGTTAATTTCTTCCTTCTTTTGTAATGTCGTCTGCATTCTCTTTCTACATTGGACCTCTTTCTGGCTTTCCTCAAAGGAACATGTTTCAGACAGACTTCATATGCTTCAGAAGTCAGTTTTTCTATTCCTTGTGTAGGATTTTTATTTCTTAGAACATTTTCCCATTGAATGTTTGTAAGTTCCCTGTTTATATCTCCCAGTCTATTCTTTTATTATTAAAATTGAATTTATTGAATAACCCTTCTCGCTTATTGTTTCTCTTGGGACTACTACCATTACTAATGTTAGTTTGCACTTCAATGAGCTTGTGGTCCGAGTACGTAGTGTATGAGGTGAGGAGGCAGAACAGGTGATTGTTACCCCTGAGACAAGGGGACAGAGCAACCTTCAAACTTGCACGAAGGGAGTTGGGAACCAGGGAACACATCCATCAAACCACTGAACCCCAGTAGGGTTTTCCAATGCCCTTAGACGTTCTATTAAGGGAAGCCCATGGGAGGTACTGCTAACCAACGCCCAAAAACTACCAAGCAAACTGCTAAGCTGAACCCCCACAACGTGTATACACACACACAGGGACCAAGCGGAGGACCACCAAGAATACAATAATAGAGGGGTCAACACACCAGGGGCAGACCCTCCACCAGACAGGAAACAAAAAAGAAAAACCCCACGAGTACAACGTCACAGGCGGAACAGAGCCGGCCGCTGTTATAAGGTGACAACTAGCTGCACATTACTTCGCCAATGATGACACTACCCCCTACCCAGAGGCAAACATGGGTGCATGAAACACCCCAGCTGACTACAAGAGTGGGCAATCACCAAGCAGCAAAGGACCACAGTGGAGGTAGATCCCGAGTAACTTGTGGCTTGGGGTTATCTTCCACAAGGGCAGTACTCTACTTACAAGGTACCTAGAGAAGGGAACCCCTAGGCACATGCAGCCTGAGTACTGAAGAAATTACTCCTGGCTCGCACACCTCCAAGAGACAAGACCACACCACAATGCACAGCACTGAGACAATTCTGGAGCCAGAGTCGCACGACCACCAAGGTCTAACATCAGCCAAGATGTGGATAGCCGGTGCAGGGGTCTGGGGCTCCTCCTTCCCCCTCTCAGGGAGGGGGGAAGGGAGCTGTGCAGACAGCGGCGAAGGCTGCGACGTCATGCTTGTTTGCTTGGTTTTCATTTGGGGATTTCAGTCCAATAGTTCGGCTTTCGGTAGCAATTTTTTAACCAGATAGGGTTTATTTTGGGGCACTTACCTTTCTGGGTGCCTGACACAGTCGATGGCAGACACAGAATGCTTCCATCCACACGGGGATTTCTATAGGCCACTGCTCCTCGTGCCTCTCTGAGGGGGCCAGGTTCTGGCTCGTGGTCCCTGGTAGGCCTAGAACTCCATTCGCCTTGACTGATGCCAGGGTCTAATACATTCATATCAGCCTGGAGGGGGGGGGGGGGGGAGCCGAAGGGGCTCCCCCCCCCCTCCCCAAAAAAATTCAAAATGTATAGTGGACTTGGCTAAGAGTGTCAAGGAACGCTGTACTTGAAATAACCAACTAGTAATTATCATAAAAAGGCACCAAGCCAGGAAGACCATGTAGCACCAATTAACCAAAAAGCTTAAACCAATTACAGTGCAATGAGTAGTTTAAGAAGAAATAAAGCAACTATAGATACCTAATAATCTACACACACAAGATATTAGAGGGACTGGTACCAAATGTGAACCCGGAGATTACATCACATGAAACCAGTAGGCATGGAAACATGTGCAGTGCAAAATACCCCTGTTGAAAAGCAGAGGTACTTAAAGAGAGAAATCTATCAATATCAAGGGCCCAAAACTTTTCAACACACTCCTGCTATACATAAGGAGTATAAATGACTAGCCTCTCGCAGTGTTCCAGAAAGAACTCGACAAACACCTCCGAAGAATGCCCGATCAACCGGGCTATGATTCCTATGTCGGGCTGGTTGCCACGTCCAACAGCCTGGTTGACCGGACGACTAACCGGGAGGCCTGGTCAGAGACCGGGTGGCGGGGCCATTGATCCCTGGAAGCTACACAAGGTAGCCAGAGGGTAGGCCAACTACAGACCTTACCCAGGATGAAACCCACAATTGCTAAACTCTCATTTACTGCTAGGTGAACAGATGCTTGAGGTGAAAGGATGTATTGCCCAAATGCTTGTGTCTTGCCATAGGAATCAACCTTGGGACCTTTCAACTGTGACCAGACTATGCTTGCCACTATGCCACAGGACCCCATATACAGCACTGCCCTTTGCCTCATGCTAGTGGAGCCACAAATGTTGAAAGTGAAGTGTTGGAAAGACTTGAACCTCAAAAGTCAAAATAAAAGCACACAATACAGTTGTACATCCAAAAATTAACAGCAGTTACAGACAAGGGAGGATTAAAGAAATGCCAAGAAATTAAAATTAATAGAAATTAGAGAATATTGAGAATAAGTTAGCCAAAAATAATTACTGTATAATCAATAATTGAACTACTAGACACTATTAAAACTGCCTATAGCACATCTCATTCTTATTGTAGGTATAACGGGAGTGACAAACATCAAAGAAAAATATTGAAAGCAAATGAGAAGTTTAAAAACATCCAAAGATCAGGTAACAAGATGCATGAGAAAATGAAAATCTGTTAGTGCAGAGAGCAACGGGGGGAAAAAAAACAGCGTTGAATGTAATGAAACACCATTTTCTGGGCGAGACCCGGAGGCTCCCCGGAGCTTCCAGGGCTACCCCCAGAAAAAGGCAGTAGCATGCAATTTTTTTTTAGACAGACTTGGGTCCAATAGGATTAGCAATAACATTTCTTTGCAAATTTTAAAAGCAAAGGGCTGTTATCCAGCACCAGCTCATTCTGAAGTTTGGCCCAATAAATGACATTATCCGAGGTGAACGTGAATAACACATTGTAAATAAGCAAACTCGGAGAAAACTAGAGTAATATGACTCCTACCGCCAGTGTGGACAGTGAGAAATATCTGAAAATGGTTTTCATAATTAACAATACACATGTATGACCCACAAAGTTACATGATAGAATACAGGAATATACACTGGGGAAATTTTGCCAGACAAAAGCAGTAAAGTTAGATACAAAATGTATTAAGTGGAAAATAGATTACCAATAAAAGCTTTCAAAGTAACCTTGCAAAGTTAACAACAAAGTGTATTAAGCACGAGGAAAATAAAGAAATAAAAGCTTTCACATTAACAATTATCTTTTTATTGGTGATGAGGATGGAGTCAACATGGTTATATATCTGGTGACACAGCAGTGATGAGAGAGCTCACAAGCATGGTAAAGTATTCACTGAAATAGCAACGAGACGAGCGCTTTTACGCGTCGACTAACTCACAGAAGTATGGTCGGAACGGTACACCTGAGCCGCCCACGACACGTCGGGAGTGAGGCGGTAGGGCGAGGCGGCAGAACTGTTACTGGAGGAGGAGGACGACGACAACAAAAGTGACGCACCAGGAGAGCCTGAAGCAGTCGACCCCAGACACCCACCACCTGCAGCATCACCACATGTCACCACTAACTACAATGCTGCTACACCACTTAAATCCACTCCTTTATCTACTCTTCTTACAAACTTTAGTATCATTTATTTAAAAGCAGATTTGCAATTATATTTTTAGATTTACTGTCTATATTAACAAATAATTTATTTAAAAATATTACAACATTTCTTTAAAAGCCATTACTGAAACCTGCAAAGCAGTCAGGATTATGACGTTACCGTCAACAGTAATCAAAATGCAGTTAAACAGTCATCACAATCTACAGAGTATCCCAGGAAGAGATGCCTATTTTTAGTTCTTAAATTTCTAGAAATGGTGTAATTCTTGGCATGCAGTGATATATAACAACAAACTTGTGACTTACAGAATATGAGCTCAGGCTCATGGTGTAATTATGTAAGTGCAGTTACAGAATGAGGGCTACATAAGATTGAATGAAAGTGTAGGCAGAACAAATTGACGATGTGCATGTACAGTACAGGAATGTCTGCCTAGGATCTCTATCTACTTCAACCTCAAGTGAGCTCCATCTCTAGGGTCCCGCCTCATACCTGCCACACCTGGTGTATACACCCTCTTGCCATTGTATTATTTTTATCTGCTCTTAAAGCACATTTGTTAAGAAGGGGCAGTACAAGGTGTGTGGGGCAGAGCACCGGGAGTGTGCGGGGCAGAGAGCACCAGGAGTGTGCGGGTCAGAGCACCGGGAGTGTGCGGGGCAGAGCACCGGGAGTGTGTGGGGCAGAGCACCGGGAGTGTGCGGGGCAGAGAGCACCGGGAGTGTGCGGGGCAGAGCACCGGGAGTGTGCGGGGCAGAGCACCAGGAGTGTGTGGGGCAGAGCACCAGGAGTGTGCGGGGCAGAGAGCACCAGGAGTGTGCGGGTCAGAGCACCGGGAGTGTGCGGGTCAGAGCACCGGGAGTGTGCGGGGCAGAGCACCGGGAGTGTGCGGGGCAGAGCACCGGGAGTGTGCGGGTGCAGAGCACCGGGAGTGTGCGGGGCAGAGAGCACCGGGAGTGTGCGGGGCAGAGAGCACCGGGAGTGTGCGGGGGCAGAGCACCGGGAGTGTGCGAGGCAGAGAGCACCAGGAGTGTGCGAGGCAGAGAGCACCGGGAGTGTGCGGGGCAGAGAGCACCGGGAGTGTGCGGGTCAGAGCACCGGGAGTGTGCGGGGCAGAGCACCGGGAGTGTGCGGGTCAGAGCACCAGGAGTGTGCGGGGCAGAGCACCGGGAGTGTGCGGGGCAGAGAGCACCAGGAGTGTGCGGGTCAGAGCACCGGGAGTGTGCGGGGCAGAGCACCGGGAGTGTGCGGGGCAGAGAGCACCGGGAGTGTGCGGGTCAGAGCACCGGGAGTGTGCGGGGCAGAGCACCGGGAGTGTGCGGGGCAGAGCACCGGGAGTGTGCGGGGCAGAGCACCGGGAGTGTGCGGGGCAGAGCACCGGGAGTGTGCGGGGCAGAGCACCGGGAGTGTGCGGGGCAGAGCACCGGGAGTGTGCGGGGCAGAGAGCACCGGGAGTGTGCGGGTCAGAGCACCGGGAGTGTGCATGGCAGAGAGCACCGGGAGTGTGCGGGTCAGAGCACCGGGAGTGTGCGGGTCAGAGCACCGGGAGTGTGCGGGGCAGAGCACCGGGAGTGTGTGGGGCAGAGCACCGGGAGTGTGCGGGGCTGAGAGCACCAGGAGTGTGCGGGGCAGAGAGCACCAGGAGTGTGTGGGGCAGAGTACCGGGAGTGTGCGGGGCAGAGCACCGGGAGTGTGCGGGGCAGAGAGCACCAGGAGTGTGCGGGGCAGAGAGCACCAGGAGTGTGCGGGGCAGAGTACCGGGAGTGTGCGGGGCAGAGCACCGGGAGTGTGCGGGGCAGAGCACCGGGAGTGTGCGGGGCAGAGAGCACCGGGAGTGTGCGGGGGCAGAGCACCGGGAGTGTGCGGGGGCAGAGCACCGGGAGTGTGCGGGGGCAGAGCACCGGGAGTGTGCGGGGGCAGAGCACCGGGAGTGTGCGGGGCAGAGCACCGGGAGTGTGCGGGGCAGAGCACCAGGAGTGTGCGGGGGCAGAGCACCGGGAGTGTGCGGGGCAGAGCACCGGGAGTGTGCGGGGGCAGAGCACCGGGAGTGTGCGGGGCAGAGCACCGGGAGTGTGCGGGGGCAGAGCACCGGGAGTGTGCGGGGGCAGAGCACCGGGAGTGTGCGGGGGCAGAGCACCGGGAGTGTGCGGGGCAGAGCACCGGGAGTGTGCGGGGCAGAGCACCGGGAGTGTGCGGGGCAGAGAGCACCAGGAGTGTGCGGGTCAGAGCACCGGGAGTGTGCGGGGCAGAGCACCGGGAGTGTGCGGGGCAGAGAGCACCAGGAGTGTGCGGGTCAGAGCACCGGGAGTGTGCGGGTCAGAGCACCGGGAGTGTGCGGGGCAGAGCACCGGGAGTGTGCGGGGCAGAGCACCGGGAGTGTGCGGGGCAGAGCACCGGGAGTGTGCGGGGCAGAGCACCGGGAGTGTGCGGGGCAGAGAGCACCGGGAGTGTGCGGGTCAGAGCACCGGGAGTGTGCATGGCAGAGAGCACCGGGAGTGTGCGGGTCAGAGCACCGGGAGTGTGCGGGTCAGAGCACCGGGAGTGTGCGGGGCAGAGCACCGGGAGTGTGTGGGGCAGAGCACCGGGAGTGTGCGGGGCAGAGAGCACCAGGAGTGTGCGGGGCAGAGAGCACCAGGAGTGTGTGGGGCAGAGAACCGGGAGTGTGCGGGGCAGAGCACCGGGAGTGTGCGGGGCAGAGAGCACCAGGAGTGTGCGGGGCAGAGAGCACCAGGAGTGTGCGGGGCAGAGGACCGGGAGTGTGCGGGGCAGAGCACCGGGAGTGTGCGGGGCAGAGCACCGGGAGTGTGCGGGGCAGAGAGCACCGGGAGTGTGCGGGGGCAGAGCACCGGGAGTGTGCGGGGGCAGAGCACCGGGAGTGTGCGGGGGCAGAGCACCGGGAGTGTGCGGGGGCAGAGCACCGGGAGTGTGCGGGGCAGAGCACCGGGAGTGTGCGGGGCAGAGCACCGGGAGTGTGCGGGGGCAGAGCACCGGGAGTGTGCGGGGCAGAGCACCGGGAGTGTGCGGGGGCAGAGCACCGGGAGTGTGCGGGGCAGAGCACCGGGAGTGTGCGGGGCAGAGAGCACCGGGAGTGTGCGGGGGCAGAGCACCGGGAGTGTGCGGGGGCAGAGCACCGGGAGTGTGCGGGGCAGAGCACCGGGAGTGTGCGGGGCAGAGCACTGGGAGTGTGCGGGGCAGAGCACCGGGAGTGTGCGGGGGCAGAGCACCGGGAGTGTGCGGGGGCAGAGCACCGGGAGTGTGCGGGGGCAGAGCACCGGGAGTGTGCGGGGGCAGAGCACCGGGAGTGTGCGGGGGCAGAGCACCGGGAGTGTGCGGGGGCAGAGCACCGGGAGTGTGCGGGGGCAGAGCACCGGGAGTGTGCGGGGCAGAGCACCGGGAGTGTGCGGGGGCAGAGCACCGGGAGTGTGCGGGAGCAGAGCACCGGGAGTGTGCGGGAGCAGAGCACCGGGAGTGTGCGGGGCAGAGCACCGGGAGTGTGCGGGGCAGAGCACCGGGAGTGTGCGGGGCAGAGCACCGGGAGTGTGCAGGGCAGAGAGCACCGGGAGTGTGCGGGGGCAGAGCACCGGGAGTGTGCAGGGCAGAGAGCACCGGGAGTGTGCGGGGGCAGAGCACCGGGAGTGCGCGGGGCAGAGCACCGGGAGTGTGCGGGGGCAGAGCACCGGGAGTGTGCGGGGCAGAGCACCGGGAGTGTGCGGGGCAGAGAGCACTGGGAGTGTGTGGGGCAGAGTACCGGGAGTGTGTGAGGCATACAAGGCAGAGTACGAGGCATACAAGGCAAAGTATGAGGCATACAAGGTAGAGCATGAGGCATACAAGGTAGAGCATGAGGCATACAAGGCAAAGTATGAGGCATACAAGGCAGAGCATGAGGCATACAAGGCAAAGTATGAGGCATACATGGCAGAGTACGAGGCATACAAGGCAAAGTATGAGGCATACAAGGCAGAGCATGAGGCATACAAGGCAAAGTATGAGGCATACATGGCAGAGTACGAGGCATACATGGCAGAGTACGAGGCATACATGGCAGAGTACAAGGCATACATGGCAGAGTACGAGGCATACATGGCAGAGTACGAGGCATACAAGGCAGAGTATGAGGCATACAAGGCAGAGTATGAGGCATACAAGGCAGAGTACGAGGCATACAAGGCAGAGCATGAGGCATACAAGGCAGAGTACGAGGCATACATGGCAGAGTACGAGGCATACATGGCAGAGTACGAGGCATACATGGCAGAGTACGAGGCATACATGGCAGAGTACGAGGCATACATGACAGAGTACGAGGCATACATGGCAGAGTACGAGTAAAGTTTCGCTCGGTGAAATTATGCCATAGTGTGGACAAATATCAAGGTATGAATAGTAACTCTTAATACGACTCCAATTGTGTCTTTAACACTTTCGCCCGGGGATGATGCAGCATTGCGTCATCCGTTTACTGGCGGTAATACCGGGGATGACGCAGCATTGCGTCATCCACTTTAAATAATCTCCAAAAATCAGGTTTTTATCCGATTTTTTGGGGACTGGTTTTAAAATGTGCGCCGATGTCTTCCCATTTTCTTTGTTGAGCCTCGTGGCCCTCAGGCGGCTTGGCACACGCCGTGGGCTTATTGGTTTCGCTCCACTGTTGTGACCAATGTTGCCTCCCCTCGCATCTCAAACGTGTGAACATTTCGGCTATTTTCCGTAGCTATATTTCTTACTGCGGCTTTAGAAACTATCTACGCTTACTCCACGATGGATAGTGATCATGAACAAGGCCCTTCCAGGAAGAAAATTGCGAAAGAAAGGCTTGAAAAGGGCGGGAATTGGGAGTGTAGCTGGAAGGCATCTGAGCGCTCACTTGCGGCTAACGCGTGGCCCGTCTTCAACTCGTCGGCGGTTGGAGCGTGACCAGGTTTTT